TGTGTGTGTGTGTGTGTATAATATTCTGTAACTCTGTAACTTCTGTCGGTGCTGTGCTTTTTTGGAAATCGAATTTCCCAGAGGAACCCACCCGAGGGATTAATAAAGTTCTATCTTATCTTATCTTATCTTATCTGATGGTAAAAAACTACATTTCCGCGAAAATGACATCACTTCCGGTTTCGGGCAGGTCATTGCGGACATGCGATAGTTCGCGCTGATGGACATAGGAAGTGTTACAAACAGCTGATCAGATCGGCTAAGCGTGTTTCTGGAATATTATGTTTTTGTTGCTGCAAGTGCTTTTTATGCAGTTTTTGCAAAGCTTTATGTGGAAGGAAACCGTGACCGAGGACAAGCTGATGGCATAAGATGTAAGTACAACTCCTCCGGTTTCATATGCAAAAAAGATTATTGCGCTAGCTCACGTGGTTGCAGTGCTACCGGGATTTAAAAATAGTTACACAAAACGGAGCGTGCCCGCTCTGACCGGTTTTAAAATTTAAATACAATTTTTTTAGTCTTATATAAACAGGCTGATTAAATCAATGATGTTTTTGTGGAGGTGGCATGAATTTGTCTTGTAAACATTCACAGTTGTTCTGTGATGCCTGGGGTTCATTAAGGGTCATTACTTGTGTGCAGTGACTCAAAGTTTCCATCGGGAGGCAACATATGTCCACATTTCCTGTTTTAATAGTTTTACTCGGATTAAAATGAGATGATTTCTCAGACTTTGAGGCGAACTCTGCTCTGAAAGTCTGACAGGGTCTCTGATACATCATGTGGGTGTGAGAAGAGAGAACAAAGACGAGAAGAAATTAACCACAGAGTGAGATCAGTGGTTGAGCTGCTCATGAATCACTGGATAAAGTCATCTTTTACAGTAAACTGTAACTTCAGGCCAACCCACACGGAGCTGTAACATTAAAGATCAGGTTCCCCCAAGAATTCACACACCACCTTTAGAGTGATGAGACCTGAGCTGTTCACAGTGATAACACACACTTTTAGATTCAGTCTGACACCATTTAGTTCTCATGTCATCCCAGAACAAACTTCCACAAATCCTTCAGAAACCTGAAAAGAAGACAGTTTAAAAAGCTGCCTGAGAGGTTTCAGTGATCTGCTGACATATATTAGAGCATCAATGACAGACTGAAGCTGTTTCATTCCCCCAAAAATAATAAATGTAGGCTAAAAACCAGCTGAAGTGCAAATCATGGGAACATTTTTAGATCCATGTTAACATTTGCTAATTGAGTGGTTTTTTTTTCTTCCATAGAGCGGTTTCTTTACTCAGAACCAAAGCAGCTTAGGACCGTTTGGAAAAGGTAACTTTTATATGGGCACACACATGCTAACCTGCTAACACACTTTGAAATGCAAACATTAGTCACATGACAGTCCTTCATCTGTGCTAACTGTAGACAGTCCAACAGTCCACATGTAGACCAGGTTAGATCACTTGACTCTGTAGTCCTCCATCTGCCTGTGTTGATCTGGATCAGGTTGGAGCAGCTGCCATATAAGACTGAGGACCTGGCCCAGGAGATGCTAAAGGTGGTCCCTACAGACAGGATCTCGGCTCCGGACGCCATGCAGCACCTGTACTTCAACACACTGCCTCCTCCCATCATGCACCTCAGAGACAGTAAGAACTCACTTAAATGTTACCATATTGCAGCTAAACTTTAAAGAACATATTTTCTGTTAATTCAGCACTCACCTAGCAGCACTTACGATACTTGAATTTCCAACATAGATACATTATAGATGTATGATCATAAATCCTTTTTTAACAAAAAGCTGTTTAAGGCTTAAATTCATTTTTTTTCTCTTTCTTTCTTTGTCAGCTGTGTCCATCTTTAAGGTTCCTGGCATTCGTCTGGAAACGGAGGTGAGAGACATCTATAACCCTGGGCGCAAGGTCAAACCCTCCCTGCTGCCCTCTGCTAAATTCTGGTGACTGAAATCTCATAAGCAGTGTGTCAAGATCTGTGGAGTGGAGAACAAACCCAGATGTCTCTCTGAAGACACAAACTGGACTTTGAAGTGATATTATTACAGTGCCATTAAATGTTTGCAGTTCAGTTTGGAGAGTCTTTCTGGTTTAAATAAAGATGTGTATGTCAAACTTTCAGTCAGATCGGCTGTTAAGATCTTATGTAAATCTGATTTCTTGCCAATGTAAATATAAACCGTCCCTGCAGTCTTCTGTTAGCATTCATTAGCATCTGTTAGCAGCAGACTAACGAGTCCCATGAAACTCCTCATGAATTTTGAATGAAGCTTTATTAATAAAGCTCCAGGCCAACCTGCACTGAGAGACACAGCGTGTTTCTGTATTCTGACTCTAACTGGATAGAACTCGACCTCTGAAACTTTCTTAGTCCTCTGATACACAAACAAGCCAACAGCTGAGAGACCCCCTCTCTCAGCTGGATGGACCTGATTTAACTGTATTTACCTCTGACTGATGATCTTCCCCTCATCCCCTACATCACTGACACCTCACAACTTGTCACAGCACTGTAACAATTTGAAAATTTAAAAGTATAATTAATTTTAAAAAAATACTAGAACATGTGGGTTTTTATGTTTTTATTGTGGGCAGATTTTGGTTGTTTTTGTTTTTTATTTTCTTAGAAAATAATTTTAAATTAATTTTTGTTTTAGCACTCCAACAGATTTGAGGCCTGTCCAGGGTGTACCCTGGCTCTCACGCTATTGCTGCTTTTCTGTTGCCACCTACTCGACTCAACTTGACTTAGTTTCAGTCATTTTCAATTTCGTTTGAGTGCCACATCAATGTGGGTTGGATCATTGAAGCAACGCAGGCCAAAAGTCCTGTGACATCATTTTTATGCGACGCAACTGAAGAACAAGAGGACATTTCAGTGATGGTATACCTGCTGCTAAACTGATGGTAATCATCTGAACCTCATAGATGGACCATGGAGTCATTACTCGCTGGCCAATTATTTGCATGCAGTCTGTTGACACCACACCGACCCCGACTGAGCAGGTACCACCAAACCAAAAATTCAAACAATTTAGTGGAGTCAAGCTGAAAACAAATTATCAGTTCATCACTGAATGTCCTGATATCCCCTTTATCATTTAACAGTTAAAAAAAAAGTAGAAAAGAATTAATACTAACAACTTGTATCCATCATTAATAATTCATCTTTCTTGTTACTCTTCCCCCCAGCTTTCCTGTGCTTTAATTTGACTAAATGTATTTACATCCAGAGAGATTTAAAAAATATATTTACTGATGCATTCATTCATTTCCTTCCAGTATTAAACACTGAGCTCACAGGAGGAGGTAAGCAACAACTTACATCTACAAACAACTTACATCTACAAACAAATCCTATTCAGAAGCTGCTGGCATGATGGATAAAATGTAAATAACAACAATGATTTCCAAATTTCCTAAATCCACACAACACAGAAAACATATAAAATGTTTAAAATAAGACATTTTACAATTTCATGGAAATGTTTAGCTGATGGCATCAGCACGTCTCAAAAAACTTGTGTTGCTGTTTGGAAAACTAAGTGGTTGAAAACAAAGATAAAACATTTCGCAGCTAATTAGGTGATAAGTCTGTAAAGTTGGACAAAGATTCACCAATCTGCAAAAATCCAGAAACACCGCTGTCCTCTGTTAACTCGTGTTATGGATTGTTCAAACATACTTAATACTAATTATATATATATATATATATATAAAGATTATAATTAAAAAAAAGGACGACTTGATTTTTCACTAAGTACAATGATAAATAAAGAAATGGTCTGATGACTCTTCAGGCTCAACAAATCCAATAAACACTAACAGTAGCATCCTTAGTGGGACTATTTTCATACAACATAATGAAGTTAGCCAGTGATAAGTTAACACACGCTCTTGGAAGAAACACAAGCTTATCCTTCAGTTATTTGCAGCTTATATTAAAGTGTTTCACCCCAGACCATGAGAAAAGTCTTTGAGAAGAAAAGTTAAAACAGTGAGTAATGTTAAAGAGGATATATGTTGTTCTCATTATTTCTATTAGTGGATTGGTGGAATGCAAAGAAATGCATTTATAATGACATTTATGAAAAAGCCCTGATACAAATGAGTCTTTACCGATCATTTAAAGGAAGGCACTAATGAGGTGGGCTTGCAGTTTAATTTCACATTCCAGGAGCTCTGATAGTAAACACTAATCACCTTTTATCTTTGAGCCTGAACACGGGACAGTTAACAGGTGGCTGAGGTTCTGCCCGAGAGTCTGAGGCTGTTCACTGCTTGGTATGGGAACCGCAGTTTGAGTATATAATCTGGGGCTAGGCTGCAAGGGCTGGTGTCCTGCAGGTTTTAGATGTGTCCTTGATCCAACACAGCTGATTTAAATGGCTAAATTACCTCCTCAACATGTCTTGAAGTTCTCCAGAGGCCTGGTAATGACCTAATCATTTGATTTAGCTGTGTTGACCCAGGGTGGTATCTAAAACCTAAACCTAAACAGTACACCAGCACTTAGGGCTTGGAGTTGCTCACCCCTGCTGTAAATGAATGAATGAAAACATGTACCCTCACCTGTGTGTTGATTGTGCCCTCAAGATTTTACAAGCATATTTTAAATGAGCAAACAGGTTCAACAGAGGCTTGATGCATTTCTGAACTACTGCACAGAACTTGTGTTTTATATGAGTTTAATTTTAAAGAAATAACACACATCCATTCATTAATATCAGTAGACAGTTTGCAAGGTTGGAGAGGTTTGTTGAATGTGTGGATTGTGAAATAGAGCCATGTGTCATCAGCATAGCAATGGCATGAAATGTTATTTTTCTATAAAATGCGGCCACATATATCAAAAAAAGACATCACTAATAGAAGCAAAACATTCTAACTGGTAAGCCATCCCAGATATAGAAAACCAGTACTGTAGCATCTTCATCGAGATTTTATGGTCTATTGTACCAAAGGCTGTACTTCAGTCAAGTAGCACAATAACAGAACACCAGTAGTATCAATTCAGTATCATTGGTTACCCTAAAAAGCACAGTCTCAATGTTAGCGAATTCTATACACATTTATTCTTGTATTGCTATCATCGTTTGTTTATTTGTTTCTAAGGTTCGATAGGAAATATTCAAATGTAGAGAAAAATCTTTAAAAACAAGATTTACAGTTTAGCTTTGTTAGTCAATGGTGCCTTTTTTTCTCAAAAAGAAAAACTTTGTTTTCAACTTTTTGGGTATTTGACAGATTTTGCAGAATTTGTGTTTTCCTTTTTTCTTTTTTTTGTTTGCCATCTTTGTTTAACATTTATAGATGAAAGAATTTAAATTAACATTGTTGTTCACAGCAACAAAGAAAAAGTTTTATGAAACTTTTTCTGTTGACCTGTTTTGATCGAGTTCATATGTAAATGTAGGATTAGTAGTCAACAGAAAAACACTTTAACTGTTCTGACTGACAGGATGTCAGATGTACATTTCCTACTGACGTCTGATTGATTGGCAAGATAAAAGAGAAAGAAGAAGGTGTTTGTGCATATTTAACTCTGTTTGTGTTTTTGGACATTTGATGAGAGAAATCTGACTAATCCCATCATTAATAAATCAAAATGCTAAGCAGCCTTTGATATCAAGCCTCTGAAGACAAGTACCCTGGCAAGTTTCACTTGTGTTGTTTTTCTTTGTTTTCTCCTGATAAACTTTCTGTTTCAGTTTGTGGTGTTCTCCAATTTTCGCTCACTGCTAATATGAAGTAGAACTGGATTTTTGTGCCATACATGAAAGATCATAAAGGCAGATTTGTTTTTTTGTTTTTTTGGTTTGGTTTGTTTTTTTTAATATGGTGAGCTGCTTCGTTGAACAAACATGTAAATATAAAAATATTTAAACTAAACAATAATGTTATGTTTAATTGATATTTAAAAGCAAAAAGCATTGAGCTTGCCCTTGCTATAGTGACACTATGTGTTTCTTTTCTCTTTTTTTGTACTTTTTTTTTATCATTAGATAATACCAAAATTTAGAATTGTTAACATTTGCATCACCACATGAACAGACAATTAATGTCCATGGTAAATTAATAGAAACTAAGAAGCTAAAAGTAAAAGAAATACTAGCTAGTAGCTTTGCTGCATTACTGCTTGTTTTTAGAAGTCAAATATACTCTTCAATAAAACAATATTGCTAGTTAGCTGATTTTATTTAATGCTTGGCAGAGTAGTTATCTTAAAAAAAAAATCTGAGTTAGCTGCATTTAAATCACATAATCAGCTTTGCTTGTTTTTATCAATTTTGAATCATTTTTATATTGTGATGTGACTACTATTCTTTGAAATATGCTGTGTTAATTTCTTTACATTTTGTGCACATTGAAGTTGTTATTATTTTTAATTGATGACATTGATACCCAGATTTCAAGCAGATGTAGATTAATTCTTTGATTGTATCTTCACTGTTTCACTCAAACATGATGAAAATCACCCGAACACTGCATTTTACCAGCTATTTGTGTTTTATTGACTCTTAATTACTGGCATGTGTCTTTTTTGTTTTACACATGCAACTCATTTTACATTTTCTTGGACGGTATATTTATTTTAGTTTTGTTACCTTTCCTTTTCTTTGTCATTCTCCTGACAATTTATAATTAAAGTTTAGTAACAATCTGGACTCTAAGCTTGTTGTGATGGCAGCAAACATCATGTGTGTCTCATCAGACTTTATTTAATCATCTTTAGATTAGATTAGATCAGACTGGGTCTTATTCACAGGGGCAGCAGCCATGTGTTGTCACTGTAAGCAGTTAGCTGAAGTGTCCGTTTAAATCAGATCACATGAAGGTTTTTAGAAACATGACCAACAAGATGAGGACAGGTTTACAGTCAACACATTTTACACATGCTTTGTATGAATAATATTAAAGTTTGCTGCATTTATTTTGAAGGAATCACAGATTAAAATAATTACAGAGAGCTCATATCTTTATCAAATTTAATGTTGTTCGTTTTATTTCATATTTTAAGGACTTACTGTTGGAATTTTTCTTTGCTGTATTTCATTATTTTCCATTGTTGTTCTAATTTTTTATATCTTTTTAAAAATTTATTTATTTGAGTTTTTCTCATTAAAAATTTTCACTAATTTCTATTAAAAAAAGTGGACACACATTAGTGACCTTGTAACAAGTCAGTCCAAATAGTTTCTGACAAGCATGTTTGTTGACTGAATAATTAAAGAAAAGATTTTCATTTTTCAGTCCTGTCTGTTTTTTGTGACATTTACCATGTACAAGTTGTGGTTAA